AAATATCTTGAGAGAGAGGCACATTTTCCTAATTTGAGCAAAGATGCCATATGGACTAAAGACAGCACTGCAGGGAGTTTGAAGACCTTGCGATCTATGCTCTTATTAGATAAGTCACTTGATCCCTATGCACCATTTTCCCATCTTTCAAAATGTATAAAGCAAATCTGTTAGAGAACTGATAAAACAGCTAACTAGAAAGAAGATAAACATTTTTATTTTTTTTAATTTTAAAAAAAAGAAAGAAAGATTGTGGGGTTAGGACAGAGGCCCCAAACTATGTTAGTTCATGAGCCCTTAGTGCCTCAGTAATTTTTTTAACTGTGCCCCCTATGTCTAAAGAAATACTGAATTCGGTCTATTATGTAGTAAGATCCAGGCACCTTAAGTATTTCTGTTCTAAAAACTCAGTAACTTCTTAAACAGTAATGCACATAAGGCCAGGCATGGTCTTATACCTGTAATCCTAGCACCCTGGAAGGTCAAAGTGGGAGGATCACTTGAGGTCAAGGGTTTGAGACCAGCCTGAGCAAGAGTGAGACCCTGTCTCTACAAAAAATAGAAAACATTAGCTGGGAATGGTGACGCATGCGTGTTGTCTCAGCTACTCAGGAGGCTGAGGCAGGAGGATAGCTTGAGCTCAGGAGTTTGAGGCTGCTCTGAGTTATGATGATGCCACTGCACTCTAGCCAGGGCAACAAAGCTAGACTCTGTCTAAAAAAAAAAAAAAAAAGATAATGCACATAAATTGAAAGAAAAAAAAAACACAGCATAAGTTTTTAAACTTTGGAAACAGATTGAAAGCTGCTACCAGCATTTCTTATTCCACATTGAGTTTCAAGAGTTACTTCCTTTTCATCACAGCAACTTTAAAAAAACCCAGTTTTCCAATGATATGACATCATCTAAAGCAATGTTGCAGTCTAATATTTAAATATGTAAACTACCCTGAGCTAGTATGTTGCACAATGTCCAACAGATCTTAAGTTTCTCTGTTTCCCTCAAAATTTGTCCCATGACCCCTTGTGAGTTTACTGTGGCATCTCATTCCCAGAGCACCTCTGTGCACTGTTTAAGACAAAGGGATTAGGACAATGAAATCCTAGACACACTGAAATTAACTATGGTAAAGGCATTTATAATGGCCTAATACATGTGGCTCTGGGAAGCTATAATGAAGTCAAAAGTCCATCACTCAAGAGCCTGTTTACTTCCTCTTGGGCACTTGAGATAATGTCTTCAGAAACATTTTGAAAATTCTGAGGCGTTCTGACAACAGTATTTGCAGAATTAGCTGGTGAAAGAGCTGTCCACTAGAATGTAAGCTTCAGGAGGCCAGGGAGTTTTATATCCTCAGTGCCTAGAATAGTTTCTCTATATAATTTGTCCTTAATAAATATTTAATGAATTAATGGATAAAAGAGAAAAGGACTCATTTACATTTTGGACTCTGTGTTTTTCATAGAGATGCAGAGTTGGCTTGGGTTTCATGCTTTTCTCTGGATGTCTTTGATTTGGTCAGTGTCCTTCCAAATGCAATCTAAGCCATAGTGTGGTTAGAGATTATATACGTAAATGTGCCTACCACATAGGTGTGCTCAGTAAGTACTTCATTTAATCTTTTTTTAATAGGAAGCCAAAGTATGATGGTGGTGAGAAAATAGGCTTTGGAGTGGGACAAATCTGGGCTTGAATCGAGTAGACAATTATAAAATTTCTCTGAGTTTCAGTTCTTTTAATATGTAATACAGGAATAAACATCTTGTTATATACGGTTGCTGTAAGAGTTAAATAAAGCACTAGTACAATACTTGAAATACAGGAAGTATTAAAGAAAACTATTATCCTAATAGATAATTTTCATTTTACTTGGCTTATCTCATTCCTCTCTCTGAAGGTGAATTTCAAGGCATATAAATAGGACTGTACATATGTACATCAGGCACATGCTACCTTAGGACCTTTGCGCTGGCCTGGAATGCTCTTCCATTACATGTGCGCTTCCTTCCTCTGAGTCTTTGCTCAAATTCTCCTTCTCAGTGAGGCCGAAGTGGAACTTTCTATTTATAATTTGCACACCTCCATACTCCTAACCATGATCGGTTTTTTCCCTAACACTTATCATCTTTTAATATACTATTTTCTATGTTGTATATTTCAATCTGCCCTTACAAGAACATAAACTCCACGAGGGCAGAGATTTTTGTCTGTCTTGTTCACTGATGCCTAAGGATGCAGATCCGTGCCCAACGCAGGATAGGCACTCAATAAATATTTGTAAAATTGAATTGACTTGATTTATATTTCCCCTGAATTTTAGTTTGGATCTGTTTAGTTTGTCAGTATGATTTTAAAAAATGATTACCTACTTTTATCTTCATTTTTTTTTTTTTTTTTTTGAGACAGAGTCTTACTGTGTTGCCTGGGCTAGAGTGCCGTGGCATCATCCTAGCTCACAGCAACCTCAAACTCCTGGGCTCAAGCGATCCTTCTGCCTCAGCCTCCCGAGTAGCTGGGACTACAGGCATGTGCCACCGTGCCCGACTTTTTTTTTCTATGTATTTTTAGTTGTCCAATTAATTTCTTTCTATTTTTAGTAGAGACGGGGTCTCGCTCTTGCTCAGGCTGGTTTCGAACTCCTGAGCTCAAACGATCCGCCTGCCTCGGCCTCCCAGAGAGCGAGGATTACAGGCGTGAGCCACTGCGCCCGGCCTTATCTTCATCTTTTAAGTGTGACCCATCACCCACATCCCATGCAACTGGTGCTCGCTGGGCACCCAGCCTGGTTCAATTACTAGCTGTGTGAACCTTGGCAATTTACTTGGCCTCTCTGTGTCTCAGTTGCATCACCTATATGTGGGAGTAAAAGCCTAAAACTGTTGTGTGGATGCAATGAGGTAATATACGTGAAGTGCCTACAACAGTGCCCAGCACACATCCAATAAATATTAGCTATTATATTATGATTATATTTACAGCTAAGTCCTGGACCCTCTCCCCTCAGTTCTGTTATGTATCTTTATTGCTCCCTTGCCGGGGGAATTCATTCTCTCCTGACCCACCCCTTCTTTCATTTCCCACCTCTTATCCAACAGTTCTGAAACTGATGTCAAGGTCTTTTCAGCTCCAACTTTCCTCTTTCCTTCACTAACATTTTTTTTTCTTTTGCATTTTCCATTTGACATTAGGCCCAAACTGCTTTCAGAAGCTTCAAGCAACTCCCTGACTAAACTGTGCCTGTACTAAAGCTTTCATGTTTTAACAATGTGATACTAAGGAAAATTCCCATGGAAACAAGAGAGGAAACTTTCTCACAAGTTTCTTTATTTGGCCTTAATCCAGAACTATTTTAATATTATCTTTTATCACATAACTTACCCCATTTCATTCTAAGTTTTATTTTGTTTTGTTTTGTTTTGTTTTTAAAGTGTGAGCCCCTTAACATCTTGTGCTTATACTATTTTAAAAAGAAAATAATTTCAGGTCTTGTAAAACAATTTAGTTTGCCTTGAAATTGATTCAGAAATTCCCTAATATGTATATGCTTTCTGAGCTTCATTCTGAGGCCAGGTGAAAAGAAAATATCCTATTCCCTGGGTAGGTTGTGCCATCCTATCTTGGGCTGTTAAGCCTGCCCTACCTCATGCCACCAGTCTCAGGGAAAGGAAGCTGCCAGAGAACTTGGCTAAAGGTGGGTGGTAAAAGGTCCAAAGGATTAAATTTCTGGCTCCCAAAATAACCCCTGAGTACTCCTGCCACCTCCAAATCAGGCCCTGCACGCTTTTCATGGTGGCAGAGTGCCACCTCTCTGGCCCAATATCAGGGGCCCTGATGAGGTATGGATGCCCCTCTATCTCCACAAGACAGCCCCCTAGAGAGGCCGGAGAACTCACTGAATTAACTGTGGACATGCAAGATGCATTTTTTCTTTTCTTACACTCTCATAATTTTTATTTTTTAATCTCCTCTCTTCTGTGTTCTCCACCTGTCTCCAGGCTACTGGAAGACTCCACACCAGTGTTTTCCAAAATTCGGTAATTTGAGTACCACTGTCATGATATTCCCCCTAGCCCCATCATATCCAAATCCCGCCTGTACTATTTCTTTGTCAGCTCACTTTTTCACTTAAAAATTTTGAAGTCTAGCTGTTAATGTATAGTACTGCTTCAAGTTTACAACCAGTTTCCTTGCCATAAATAGAAGGCTCCCTTATAAATATAATGAAAACAAAAATATATAGTAATGGAATTTTAGTTGGATATGACTTCTTGCTGCAGGCCTTTTGCTTGAATCCTGCTGCTGTTAAGCAATGTTGGAGAGGTGTTAAAGACTTATCAGCATGAAACTAAGACTTGATCTTTGAAATACAGACATGCAAAGAGGACCTAAAAGAAAGCCATTTTCATTTACTTTGTAATGCCATGTCTACATACGGTCTAAGCATTTCCACCTTTGGGAAACATTACTTTGAGTTTTAGACTCACAAAGGTAAATAAATTTGTTGAAATCTGATAGGCTTCGTCCCATCTCCTTCAAGAACTGAGTATACAATTTGCTAACTACTCAAAAACTTTTTGCACATTTTTTCTCATTATTTGTTCACAGCGTTTGACCAACTACCAGAGAATGTTTTGGATACAGGACTAATTCCGACGAATGGGACTGGGGATGTCATCTGGTCCAAATCTTGACCCATCTCCATTTTCCCTGAAAGGTTTGGGGCCTAGCAAGATTTGTCCAAGGTCACAAAGAGAGTGGTCTAATATTTTGGTTCCTGCAGCCCAGAGAACAAGCTCTCCCGCTCCTCGGGAGGCTTGGTGAAAGGTTGGCTGGGCAGATGGCCAAACTTCTCGCCTCCACCGTGTTGATTGCGGTTGCCATGGCAGCGGCTTATTGGTCGCCGCCTTGTCTTGGTGACGTCAGGGGACCAGTGTCCAATGGGAAAGCAGCCCCGGCGTCACGCACCGCCTTTCCCGGCAGGCACCGCCTTCTCGGCCGCGAGAGAGGCGTCGCCAGTGCGGCTGAGGTAGGCTCGGCTGGCGGCCGCGGCGAGTTACATCGTTTTCCAAACTGTCCGCGTCCGCCGCCGCCCAGGACAGAAACAGAATGTTCAGGATGCTGAGCAGCAGCTTTGAGGATGATCCTTTCTTCTCGTGAGTGTCGAGGGCCAGGGGCCCGCGGTGGCGCGGGAATTCAGGAGTCTTGAGGAGGAGCCGTGTGAAGGGAAAAGAGCGACTTTTAGAGGGCGAGAGGGAATTCAGGGTGACTCCAGGGACCGGTTTGCGGGAAAGAAGAACTTGGGGGCTTGGGAGGGAAAAGAGGAGGATTTGAGGGCGTGAGGTGGAGGGAGGAGGATGTGGGGGCGCGAGGTGGAAGAGGTCCGAGCGGCCTCCCTCAGACACGCGCGGGGTGCCGGTTTCCCTCAGCTTGGCCCAACTTGGGGTCCCCCCCATGCTGCGAGGGCTTTGCAGGTGGCGATAACTGACTGCCATCTCAGTGGAGGTTCCAGTGAGAATTATGCTTAAAGGACGCTTTCCACACGAGTTTAAATTCTAAATCGGGGGGGGAATATTTCATAGGATGGCAATTCCTTGAAAAAGGAAACATTTTTAAAACATCATTTTTCATGCCCTGTGAGAGCATAACAAAGATGGAGTGTTGAGCGCTCTCCTCAAAGCGGTTAGAAGTTGCCAAGTGCACCGTTTGTTTTCATTGCTGGCTTTGTGACAAAGCTAGCCTTGTTTGTGAAGGGACTCCTCTTTCTGTCAAAAGTAGAAATAGGGCAGGGAAGCAGACGTGGGTGCATTTAACACCTCAGGTAAACAAGTGCCATTACCCTGTGAAAGGTTCCCAGTGAAATAATGTGATACCCTAGGAAGAAGGTATTCAGAAATTAGTTTCACTCGGATCTAGTTTTCTGGGTTTTTTTTGTTTTAAATTCTTCCTTTGGCCATTATATAAATGTAATAACATACTCTAGTTGGATCCGTAAGACAGGAAGATACATTTTTGCCCAAGGGTTTTGCCAGTTAGAATTTTGACTTGGTGTCTAGTTTATTTGACCTCTGTGCAACATGGAGACATTTTTAAAAAGGTTTTAAAATGTTCACAGTTTGCTTCATGGATTTTTTTTTTTTATGCTTTTAAAGAAAAATGGCATATTGGCTTAAATGTGTCAGTACCAATTTAAACCAAAATAACATTAAAGTAATAATTGAAAAGACAAGCAGTAGAAAATGAAATGATTAATATAGAAAAAATGATTAACTTTTTTCTAAAGGTTATTCATTATAATCAGGGGGTATATGGACTCGGGAAAACTTATGCCATTTTAGTTAACTTGTCGATGTCATTTTAAGAAGTTTAAAATATTGTATTATTATGATTTTCTCTTTTAAAAGCCTCTGAGAGATATATCCATAGTTGTTGTTGAGCTCTTGTAAGTGGTTCTTATGTAAATGTGATATCAGTACAATGATACGGTTAAGATTGTGATAGACAATTTTAGAGTTGTATTATATCCTTGATTATACCAAAAGGAGCAATGGTCTTAACTAAACCGTGAATATATTATTAGTATCGTCTTTAAAATGTCTAGCAGAAGTGTAATTTAAACTCTTGGGTGACTCTTTCTGAGCAAGGCAATGAACCCAAGAGTCGTGGTCAGAAATAGTAACAGACCACAAATAGTAAGCATACATCAAAGAACACTCTTCCTCTGTGCTCAGGATGGAAAGGACCGTCAGCTACCTGTCAATCCGTCTTTCAGTCATCACTATCTGTAGCCTTCTTCAAATGCAGGCAGTCATATCATAAAAATTTAAGGTAAAGTGATTGCAGTGCACTTCATAAACTGATTCATGCTTATAATTTCTCCACAATTATATTTAAACACACTTTTGGGGTAAGGGAGAAAGAGAATGTGAGTTTATATTTATTTCAGGTATTTTGTTATGTGACCCACTGCTTTTACCACAACCGTCAAACAAAATGGGTATCCATTTCTTCAGTCAAACATAAGGAATTCATAAAGGTGACAAACTCCTTATTAAATCATCCACTGACCTTAGGAACATAGAAGGGAGGTGGAACACATAGCTGATGCCCACCATCTTTTATATAAATATTGTCCCTGTTGATAACATTGTGTCTGATCATTGGGCTAGTTTAACATAGAAAGTAGTCAGTCAATATTGTTTAATGATGATCTGGTAGCCTTTATTCTCTGTGTTGTCAACCTGGTGTTTTTGATTGCTGAAAATAATTATCATTTGCATTCAACAAATGCCGTTGTTGACATTGGCATTTTCTAGTTCGAACATTACCATTTCTAAAATAGTTTACAATCAAGCAAACTCTACTGATCTACTAATTATTCAGAAGTAGACAGACAAAAATATACTTCTTGGATCTAATTAGAATTACTAAATAGTGTGAGACTGATAAAATACTGTGGTTAAACTGTTAAATACTTAAAAGATTTGAGTAAAAAATAATTAAAATCTGTAGTTTTGATTTCAAATATGTTCAATCTCAATATTTACCTTCTTATAACAGTGCATCTTAAATTTTTCATCATAAAATTAAAGGGAAATATTAAAAGTGATATTTTAAAATTTGGTGTTTTATTTATATACTTGGCAATTTTTAATGTTGGTATCTTATCATGTCTCAGCACTGAAATTATTTCAGTGAAAATTTGCCTTATGGTATATTCT